GAGGCCGGGGGCCGCTGCTGAGCTCCCCGCTGCCCCTCACCTGCCGCGGCATTCACTTCGCAGCCCAGGACCCCGGCATCTCCCCCAGCCAGAGCCTGTGTGCGGAAAGCTCCAGAGGCCTCGCTGCAGGCGCCCTGTCCGAGAGCGGCGTGGTGCCCGTGGAGGCGTGCAGCCTGGTGATCCTGGCGGCGGAGAGCAAGGTGAGCGTGGGCGGGACCGACGGCCCTGCCGGCCCCGGGCCCCGCCCCTGCCAGAGCAGCGGCCACTGAGCGAGCTTCCTGGGCTCAGCTGGGCGGTCCGTCTCTTCCCTGGTCCCGCCCCTCTCCCTCCCTGCGCGGTCGGGGTGGCGGGGCCCTGCTCCCTAGCCGTGCCCTGCGGCGGATTCTTGGGAGCTGCGAGTTAGGGTTTCGCGCCCCATCAGCCGCTTGAGGGCCGCCAGGCTCTGGGGACCCCTTGGCACCCCGCACAGCGGCAGCGAGGCGGCCCAGCGGTTCCTTCTCGTGGGTTGCCGCCCTGCCCGGGACCGGCCCGGCCCCACTGAAGCCCCTGTCGACGCGGCCCCGGGCCCTGGGGGCCCTGCCTCAAGCAGCAGACGGGTGAAGCCTGTGGTGTTGGGAGTGCTGTCCCCCAGCCACCGCGGGCTGGGACGGGCGGTGGCTGACGGCGCCGTGGGAAGAGCTGCTGGGGGCGGTCCCAAGGGCTGGTGACCTTGGCCCCAGGCTGCACCCGGTGCTGGCGCCAGCGGCACCTGGGGGGCCAGGCGTCTGGAGGCCGCCCAGGGAGGTGCCGCTCTGTCCCCTGGCAGGTGGCCGCGGAGGAGCTGTGCGCCCTGCTCGGGCAGGTCTTCCAGACAGTGTACACGGAGTCCACCATCGACTTCCTGGACAGAGCCATATTTGACGGGGCCTCGACGCCCACCCACCACCTGTCCCTGCACAGCGGTGAGTCGCGGTGGCGCGGGTGTGCGGGGCCGTGGCTGCCCCTGCCCCTGGGTCCTGCGGGTCTGAGCCGATGCCTTTGCCCCCAGGCTCTGCCGGTCACAGGGCTAGTCAGGACAGATGCGTGCCCCTCCCCAGGCCCAGCCTGGTGGCTTCTTGCATGACTTTGGGGGCTGGGAATACTTTTCTGGAGCCACATGTGGCTACTGTCACTTCACCTGACTCCGAACAGGGCCCAGGAGGGGCTCCCGGCACTGGGCTGCAAGGGGCTGCTGGAGCCTCCTTGCAGACACCCAGCTCGCTTCTGTCGATGGGTCCCTCCCAGGACAGAGGCTGCGGGGCGGTGGGTGGGGGGTGCAGGCGAGCCAGGGAGTCCCGGAGGCTTCGCCCCCGACAGCCGTGGGGCGCCACCGCACCCCTGCCTGCCTGTGCCACGCTTTTTGGGGCCCGCTCGCCACGCACACACGACGCTTCCCGTGTACACAGCCCACTTTGGCCAGGCCTGCTGCTTCTGAACCTGCGGTTTATTAAGGACTCGTGGCTTCTGTAAGTCAGGGGTACAGGAAGGGGGCTGGCGCCAGGCAGCCCCTTGGGGCCCCTGCCCGGGGTTCAGGCCCCGTCTGGGCGCCGCCCCGCATGTTGCTGGAGGCTCCGGGGACCGGCCGGCCCCCGCCTTCCGTGCTTCTGGGGCTCCCTCCATCTCACTGCTCTGACCAGGACTCAGCTTCTTGCGCCCCCCGCGCCCCTGGGGGAGGCCCCCGGAGGCAGCAGCCCAGGACCGGTGCCCCGTGTGGCCGCGCCGCCTCTGTCCCCATCACGCGTCGTCGAACGTGCTTCTGGGTCCCCGTGCCCCTGGCTGGGACGTGAGGCCTCTGGGGGCTCCGCCTCCACCCGCCCCACGAACTCTGCTCCTGCTGCTGGCGAGGTCCCCTTCTCCTCCCGCCCTCTCCTGCGGTCCCACTCTCTGTCGCCTGGCTCCCCCCCCCCCCCCCGCCGCTTTCGGTCACTGCACGTGACAGTGCTTCAGGGTCCCTTGTGGTCTGTGCAGTGTGTCCTCAGGGGCGGCCGTACCAGGCCCTTTGCTGCTCGGAGGCTGCGGCCTTGCGTGCCCCCGCGTGGCCCCGCGTGGCCCATCCCTGTCCTCGGCTGAGTCCGGGCTGGGGGCAGAGCGGGCTGTGGCCCCTGCCGCCTTGGGCTGTGCGACGCTGACCCCGGGCTGGCTGCAGCACCTCTGACGCCACTGCTCCTCGGAGCCTGGGCTGCGCGACCCTGCCGGCCCAGAGGAGGACAGGCTGCTCCCACACGCGGGCCTTTCCTTGCCCTGGGCCCTGGGGAACCCCCAGGAGGAGTCCCAGAGCCAGGCCCGCGGCCCCACGGAGCGCTGACCCTGCGCGGGTGCCGCCTGGAGACTCAGGCTTCTGCTCTGTGCCCCACACAGACGACTCCTCCAGCAAGGCGGACGGGAAGGGGTCGTACGAGGCGGACGCCAGCCCCTTGTGAGTCTCCGTCCCTCGCGCAGCCCTCCCTGTTGGGCCCCTGGTCCCCCCGTCCACCCAGTGGGCTCCCCCAAGTCACACCGCTAACGTCCTTGCTCTGCGTGTGACCTTGCTGGGCTGTCCCCTTCCCAGTCCTTCCCTGCGTCCTGTGGTTCCGTCTCCCCAGCTGTACCCTCCCCTGACGGCGGGCCCCTTCCTGTCACCTGCCCTGACCCCCAGCGCCACCGGGGCCCTGCGTGTGGTCACGGGCGCAGGTACAGGGCAGGGCCATGTCCTCGCAGCTCCTTCCCCGAGTGTGTGCCCGCGGCGCCCCACGCCAAGACGGTCAGCGAGAGCGAGCTGAGCGCCACGGCCGCCGAGCTGCTGCAGGACTACATGCTCACGGTAGGCCCTTGGCCGCAGGGGCGGGTGCTGGTGGGCCGCAGTGTGGTCCTGGGGGGTGTGGCCCTGGGCCTGGCCCCCCATCACTGCCCTCTCCCCGCAGCTGCGCACGAAGCTGTCCTCGCAGGAGATCCAGCAGTTCGCGGCGCTGCTGCACGAGTACCGTGACGGGGCCTCGGTGCACGAGTTCTGCATCAACCTGCGGCGGCTCTATGGGGACAGCCGCAAGTTCCTGCTGCTGGGTGAGGCTGGGGGTGTTCTGGCGGGCTCTGGGCGCTGAGGAGGGGCTCTCTGGGCGGGCAGCGAAGCCACCATTGCAGCCGAGGGACCAGGCCCTGTCCGATGCCCAGGCCCGGCCGCATGTGCTCTGCCAGCCGTGCAGGGCCTGGAGGCCAGGCCGGTTGGCGGTGGCTGGTGGAGGCTCCTGGGGCCCAGGCCCTGCCCCGAGCTCAGGGTGTCCTCCCCATCTTGTCCGGGAGCTTGGGGTCCCCGGGGTCTCTTCCCCTGTCTGGGGCAGCCCTGGAGGAGCGGCTGCCTGTGGGACACGTGGGGTCAGGCGTATGCGGTGCCCCCAGGTCTGCGGCCCTTCATCCCCGAGAAGGACAGCCAGCACTTTGAGAACTTCCTGGAGACCATCGGCGTGAAGGACGGCCGCGGCATCATCACCGACAGCTTTGGCCGGTACCGGCGCGCCCTGAGCTCCACCTCGACCTCCACCTCCAATGGGAACAGGGCGGCGGGCAGCTCCGACGACCAGTCCGTGCCCTCCGAGGGGGACGAGTGGGACCGCATGATCTCGGACATCAGCAACGACATCGAGGCGCTGGGCTGCAGCATGGACCAGGACTCGGCCTGAGGGCGTCGGGGCCCCTCCCCCCAAGCTGGGCCGGGGCTGGGCCCGCCCTATACTGTGAAGGAGACGCTGGTGGGGGTGCGGGGGCCGCCCCGAGCCGCCCGCGCACGGCCCTGCCTGGCGGCCAGACCACAGACAGCGGTCGTTCCTGCACATGACACGACCTTCCTATCGAAACTCTCAGAGACCCAAGAAGTTTACTGCAATGTGAATAATTTATCTCTGGTTGCCAGCGTGTTTCTGATCTCATGGGAGCTGGGTGTCCATTCTGCCGCTGCCCAGGGCCGTGTGCCCAGGCCTGGCCACCGAGTTGCCCTCGGGCCGACACTGCCCGCCTGGGGGCTGGGCCGGCTCTGGAGCCTGCCTGTGGGGAGGGTGTGGCTGGGGCTTCGGCCCCCTGGACGGGGGCCCGGGGCGGGTCAGGGCGCCTGCGGCGTCAGAACCTTGCTGTAGCGCCTGTCCCCCGGCCCTGGGAGGGGCCCCGCCTGTCCCCCAGCCCTTGCCCATGCCCACCTGCCATCACAGGGGTCTCCACAGCAAACTCTGCGGCCCCCGCCCCTCCCCCTCCAGAAGTGCTGCCCACCCTGAGAGTTTTGTCGCGGGGCCCGGGGGCCCGCTCTTCAGGCGCTGGCGGGGCGCAGCCCCCACCAACCACCGCAGCCCCTTGGCTCCAGCCTTCCTCCCGTGCCCTCTGGACTTGGGGAGGCGGGGGTGGCCCCAGGGCGGGGTCTGGAGCCTGTGGGGGTGGGCAGGGGGCCCAGGGTACTCCCTCCCTAAGAAGGTGCCGCTTGCCCTGCAGACCTGACGCGAGCAGGAAGCCTGGGGGGCGGCCCCCGCACGGGGAGCCAGGCCGCTGGGGGCTGCCAGGAGCCGCGCCTTCCCCGCCAGGGCCCCACCCGAACGTGGTCCCCGCACTGTGCTCTCCTGGGCCTCTGTGGTCGCCCTGCCCTAGGACGGGACCCCCACTCTGGGTCCTAGAGCCGGGCCCCCTAACTGCTGGCTCCCAGGCAAAGGCCGCCTCCCTGCAGCCACCGCAGCCTGTGCCCCTGGCCCAGCCCGAGCGCCGGGGGCCTGGGGGTTCCTGTGGAACTCGGTGCTCAGGTCCACGCCCGGTGACCGCGCTGCCTGCAACCCCCAGGCGTGTTGGCACCCCCGGGACGTGGGAATGGGTCGCCACGGGAGGTCCCCTGCCCTCTGGGGTGAGAGGGGAGGACTACCGTCTTTGGGTGTCGCGTGGCTCCTCACACCCCGCGAGTGCTGAGCTGGAGGCCGGGGCGGAGCGGCTGTAGCAGGCCTGGAGCGGCGCTGGGGCGGGGCGGGGCGGGCCCGCGGTCACATCGTCAGCTCCTGCGGGAAGCCGGGGGAGAGGGTCTGGCTCGGGGGCGGCCTGGCAGGGCAGCAGCGGGGGTCTGGGCCAACGGCCGGGGGGCAGCCACCCACCATGATGGCGTTGACGATGTCGCTCTGGTTGTCCCTCAGGGCCCGCACGGCCTTGGCCCTGGACACGTTGGCCTGGGCCATCACCAGCTCGATGTCCCGCAGCTCCAGGCCGGCTTCGTCCACCTGGGGGGGTGGCAGGAGGTGCTGGGGCTGCCCCTCGCCTGGCCAGGGCCCCCCGCCCCCGCCCAGGGGCCTTACCTCCTCCTCCTCGCCCTCCTCCTCACACGCCGGCCTCACCCGAGGCCCCGGCACTGACTCGGGGATCAGGGCGGAGGGCTCCGTGGGCACCTTGAACTTCTCAGCGGCGGCTCGGTGCACTTGCTGGGACAGGTCCTCGATCTACGCGGCACGGCAGCTATGAGCCAGTGGTGGCCCCTGGCTCCGCCCTGCCCACACCCCGCCCACGCCACCGACCTTGGCTTCCCCGAAGACCACGTAGGTGTCAGACGCTGGGCTCTTGTAGACATCAGGCTTGGCGATGACAAAGAGGATGTTCTTGGACTTCTGGATGGTGATCCTGGTGACGCCCTGGACCTGCCTCAAGCCCAGCTTGGACATGGCCTGGGGGCGCAGCAGGCTCAGGCCTGGGCTCTGCCTGCGCCTGTGTTGGGGCGGGGGCTGGGCTGGCCGGGGCAGCAGCAGCCTGCGGGCAGGGGTCCCCACGGGTAGAGCAGGGTGTGGGGCTCACTGACAGGGCCCCGCTGTTTCGTGGGGGTGTCTGGTCACCCCATTTCCCCAAAGGCGAGGGGCGGGGGGTCCCCACCCTGGAGGGTGGGTTGCCAGGCCAGCCCAGCCCTCCCGAGGGTGCAGGGCCCCAGCCCACCTTCCGGGCTTTCTTCTCGCTGCGGCTCTGCTTGGCTTTGGCCACGGTCTCCTCACTGCCGCTGGCTGGGGCCTGGGGAAGGGCGGGGCTCAGCACCGGGGGTGGGGTGTGGAGCCCTCCACCCCTCATCCCCCGCCGCACACACTCTCCCCCGCAGCAGGCACCTGGGCCGAGCGCTGTGTGGCCTGGGGTCCTGAGGGGTCCTGCTCCTCTGGCTCGGCCGACGACTCGCCGTGGCTGTCCGAGCACTGGCCGGGGCCCGGAGCCCGGGGCGACTCTGGGTGGGAGGGGTGAGGACAGCTGTGCCCTGCGGAGCTGGGGCTGCCCCACATCCCGCCACCTCCGGCCCCTCGGCCCAGTCCCTCACCTTCCTCCAAACTGTCCTGATCGTCCTGCTGCTCGGTGGCCAGGGACCTGGGAGGGCTGGCCGGGCTCTGGGGCCCAGCGCCGGGAGGCACTTGGCAGGTGGGTGGGATCCACAGGGCCGGGTCTTTGGCATGAGCGCCCCCCTTGGGGGCGGCCTCCGGGCCGAGGAGGGGGGCATGGGGCGGGAGGCTGACCCGCGGCCCCACCCTGGGGGGCTTCCTGGTCCCAGAGAAGGCAGCTGCTGCCTGAAGGGCTCCTGCCTGGGGCGGCAGGAAGTCTGGGGAGCCAGGGGGCTCCTGGCTCTCAGCTGAGCCTTCCCGGGGACCCTGGCCGGGGCAGGGGCTGGGCGGTGCTGCTGGGCGTGGAGCCCCCCCCAGGATGGCGCTGGGGGCGGAGGGCTCAGGGCCTGGGGGCCCGTCAGGAGTCTGTGGGGGGCAGAGGCCCCGGGTCTCAGGGGCCACCCGGGCCTGCTCGTCCCCGCCCAGGCCTGGCTCGGGCTCTGGCCCAGGGGAGGGCGGTGGAGGCGTGGCCTCCGGTTCTTTGGGGCAGCCCCTGCCCAACCCAGGCACAGCCCTTGATGGAGGTTCTGAGGCCACAGCCAGCTGACGCCTGGGCCCTGGGGTGCCCCCTCCACTCTCTGCAGGGCACTGGGGGTGCACCAGACCAACCTTGGGGCAGCTGCTCCCAGGAGCCTTCCTGGGGCCCCAGGGTGCTGGCTCGAGGTTGCCGTCCCCCTGGTTCTTGGCCCCTGGGGCCTCCTGTGGGTGCGAGCGGGGCTCAGCTACTTCCTCCCTGACAGAGGTAGGCTCAGGGGGGTCTGGGTCTTCTTTGGGGGAGTCCAGGGACTCTGTGGGGAGATGTGGAGGTTCTGGGATCCTCAAGGCGACCTTGGGGCAACCTGGGTCCTCTTTGTGAAGGTCCAAGGGGTCCAGGGCCTCCATGGGGTGCTGTGGGGGGTCTTGGGTTTCCACAGCAGGCTCAAGAGTGTCCGATGTCTCCGAGGCAGGTTTCGGGAGGCCTAGAAGGTCCTGGGATTTTAGGGCCTCCAAGGCATGGTGCAGTGGGTCTTGAATCTCCGCAGCAGGCTCAGGGTCATCTGGGAACTCTGAGGTGGGATTGGGGGGATCTAGGGTCTTTGTGGTGGGCTTGAAGGTGTCCAGAACCTCCGTGGTGGGGCTGAGGGAGTCTGGATGGTCCAGAGTCTCCATGGGAGGATGTGAGGGGTCCTGGACAGCCAAGGCAGGCTCAGGGGTGTCTGGAGCCTTAGGTGCAAGTCCTGGGGTGTCCTGGGCCTCTGAGGTGAGTTCTGGGGTGTCCTGGGCCTCCAAGGGAAGTCCTGGGGTGTCCTGGGCCTCTGAGGCGAGTTCTGGGGTATCCTGGGCCTTCGAGGTGAGTTCTGGGGTGTCCTGGGCCTCCAAGGTGAATTCAGGGGCATCTGGGACCTTAGATGCAAGTTCTTCGGTGTCTGGGGCCTCCAAGGCAAGTTCTGGGGTGTCCTGGACCTCTGAGGTGAATTCAAGGGCATCTGGGGCCTTAGATGCAAGTTCTGGGGTGTCCTGGGCCTCCGAGGTGAGTTCTGGGGTGTCCTGGGCCTCCAAGGTGAGTTCTGGGGCATCTGGGGCCTTAGATGCAAGTTCTGCGGTGTCTGGGGCCTCCAAGGCAAGTTCTGGGGTGTCCTGGGCCTTCGAGGTGAATTCAAGGGCATCTGGGGCCTCCAAGGCAAGTTCCGGGGTATCCAGGGCCTCCGAGACGAGTTCCGGGGTATCCAGGGCCTCCGAGACGAGTTCCGGGGTGTCCTGGGTCTCCGAGACGAGTTCCGGGGTGTCCTGGGCCTCCGAGGCGAGTTCCAGGGTATCCTGGGCCTCCGAGGCGAGTTCCGGGGTGTCCTGGGCCTCCGAGGGGAGTTCCGGGGTATCCTGGGCCTCCGAGGCGAGTTCCGGGGTGTCCTGGGCCTCCGAGGGGAGTTCCGGGGTATCCTGGGCCTCCGAGGGGAGTTCCGGGGTATCCTGGGCCTCTGAGGCGAGTTCCGGGGTGTCCTGGGCCTCCGAGGCGAGTTCCGGGGTGTCCTGGGCTTCCAAGGGAAGTTCCAGGGTATCCTGGGCCTCCGAGGTGAATTCAGGGGCATCTGGGGCCTTAGATGCAAATTGTGGGGTATCTGGGGCCTCCAAGACAAGTTCCGGGGTATCCGGGGCCTCCGAGGCGAGTTCCGGGGCATCTGGAATCTCCAAGGTGGTCTGGGGGGTGTCCACACCTCCACTTGCGGTCCAATGCGTCCCGATGTCAGCTGCTGGCTCTGGATGGCCCTGTTGGGCCTGGTCCAAAGCCAGGGGCCCTGGGCCTCCAGTGCGGCCCGCGTCCTCCTCCTCAAGGGCTGGCGTCAGCCTGCAGGCCTCGCCTCCCTCCTGCCTGGCCCAGGCGGCCGTGGGCTCGGCCCCGGAGGCGCAGCCCGCGTCCGACGGCAGGGCCTGAGGGCCGCCTGCAGCGGCCGGCCCCCGGCCCCAGGGCCGGCTGGCATCCCGCAGGGGCGCACGTGTGGCCGCGGGGATGGCGTCCTCCCCTCTGGGCGGGGCCTCCTGGTCCGCGTCTTCCTTCAGGCGCCGCGGAGCGCCTGGGCTGGGCGAGCGGCCGGCCTGCCCCTCAGCGGTCCAGCGCTCAGTCCCGGGCTCAGGGCCCAGGGCGGCGCCGGCTCCGTCTCCCCAGGGATGTGGCGCCTGTCTCCCTGGGGCCTGAGCCGCCCCCTTGGGGGGCCCCACAGGGGCCACCCGGCCCGCCACACCCTCAGAGGCCTGGGGGCCGGGCTGTGCGTGGGGCTCGCTGCTGTGCAGCCTCCCATTCTCTGCTCCCGGGTGGGAGGCCGAGTCGGGGTCGGAGGAGGCAGCGGAGGCATCGTCCGGGAAGGCGAAGGCCTCGTCCACGCCCTCGGTGACGGAGAGGTCCGACGGGGACTGCAGGGAGGACGCGAAGCTGCTGTCGTCGTCCTCCTCGCCGGCCGGGTCCCTGCCGGGGGCCGGGGCCCCCCACCCTTGCTCCGGCGGCAGCGGGGCCACCTCCACCGCCTCCACCTGGAAGATCAGGCTGCCGCGGAAAGGCAGGAGCGCGGCGGGGATCATCGGGTCGTTGGCCAGGAAATCCGGCTCAAAGAAGTGGGCTTCCTGGTCGTAGGAAGAGCCACTGTCGGTGGAGAGGCTGGACTCGGGGGACAGCGGCCCCGGGGACCCCGCCGGAGGCAGCTCCCACTCGTGAGCCTCGGATCCTGGTGGGGAGAAGCCCCAGTCTGAGGCCCCGTCCAGCCCTTCGGATGGAGCCAGCAGGCTCAGGGAGCAGGACGGGGACGAGGCCCAGCTGTCCCCATCTGCGGTGATGTAGGAGCCCGAGGGCGAGGTGGGTGGCGAGTCCCCCGAGGCCTCTGGCTCAGCCTGCGCGTCCCCAACGTCCTTGCAGAGCCTGGGGCCGGGGAGCAGGGCTGGGGTCTCGCTGGGGGTGGAGGGAGGCGTGAAGAAGGAGTCGGGGTCCAGGGCAGGGGAAGGCACAGGAAGGTCGCCCTGAGGGCACAACATGGAGGGTGGGCTCGGGTGGCCGGGCCCCCCCTCCTGGTCCCTGAGCTCCGGCAGGGCCACCCGGGGCGGCAGGGGCACCCGGGGCGCCCGGCATGTCTCCTCCCCCATTACGATCCGTGGCTCCAGGGTGGCTGGGAGAGGCCCCTCGGGGGGCTGGGCCTCAGGCGGCCCTAGGCTAGGGCTGCCCTCCATGGGGGCCGCCCAGGCTGAGGGTGCCCGGCCGGGCCCTGCATCCCAGCTCGCTCCCTCGGGTGGGGGTCGGGCGCCTGGCTTGCCAGGCAGGAAGGCGAGGGCCGGTGCGCCGCGCCCGGCGGTCAGGGCACACGGCGCCCGCCGGTCCCCTCTTGGGGTGGTGGCCTCAGCTGCACCGCAGGACAGATCTGTGGAGAGAGGCAGGCGGGAGGCGGGCTGGCACCTACTCTGAGGAGCAGCTCCAGGCCACTGCGCCCCCTCGGCTGGGAGCTGGGGTTGCTGCTGGGCAGGGGGTGCAGTCACGGAAGGGGGAGTGGCGAAAGGCAGCTGCCGCGTCTGGGGAAGAACGTCCCAGACTTCCGAGCACGCAGAGTTCCGAGCACGGCGGGCAGCCCAGGGTCGGGCCGCGTGGGGTGTGGCTGTGGCACAAACAGGGTTGGGGTGCCCCTGGCTGTTCTGTGAGGCGCAAGGCGCCGGGGACGCGCCGTCTCCGGGGACACCGGCTTGCTGTCTGCCTGCGCACAACCTGCCGCCTGCTGGGCTTGGCAGGAGAGGACCTCTCACGGCCTCCGGGGTCAGAGGGCCCTGGGGCACGGGGCCTGCGCTCTGCTCAGCTCTGGAACATTCCGTCCCAGGTACAGGCTTCCTGTGCCTCAGCCTTCTGTCTGCAGGGAGGAGTATCCGCCCCGATTGGAGATGAAGTTTTCGAAGGGGCGGCCCCTGCCCAGGGCACCCATGTGCCGGCAGCAGGACCCCCGCCCTCGGGCCCCACTGCTGAGGTGCTCGGTGGCCAGCGGCTGCTGAGAGGGGAGGCCCTTTGGGTCCGCTGGGGTGTGCCGGACACCCAGCACCGGAGGTGGGTGTGGCTGGGTGGCCCAGACCGGGCTCTGGGCACTGAGCCTGGCGTGGGACCCTGCGCTCCCAGGTGGACCCCGGTGCCCCGGGGGAGGGGGCATGCAGACTTGGGCTAAGGCTGAAGCGGGGGAGAAGCCTAAAGGTCAAAGGTTTCGGTGACTCATTCGAGGGCGTCATGCAGTCTGAGCAGGGCCAGACCTCGCCTCTGGGCCTGGGGACCCGGCCCTGACCCTCCCGGAGCAGAGGGGGAGGCCAGGCCTCGGGGTGGCACCGGTCCCGCCCCAGGCGGCTTCTCGCCTGCAGCAAGGTGCCCTTGGCCCCCGGAGTCACCCGGGGCTGACTGCTGGGCCGCACTGCCCGGCCTTCCCAGGCCCAGGCAGACGCCCGTGTCTCCTGCGCGGCCGACCTGGCCCTCCAAGGACGGCCCAGGGCCCAGGGCCCACGGCTCGCGCTCCCGGCCGTGCACCGCGGGACCTCCGACCCTCCTCCTCCCTGACCCACGCGCCTGTCTGGCTTCCCAGGTGCCAGCCCCCTTCTTGAGCTCCCCTCTGGGACCAGTGCCCGCCCGGAGCGGTCCTCAGGCAGCTGCGGGACAAGTGTCCCCCAGGCTCAGGGTGTGGCTGGGAACCGGCTGCCTCAGGGTCAGGTCCCGACCTGCCCAGGCCCGCAGCTCCGCGCAGACAATGGGGCGCCCTGGGTCGGAGGCGCTCAGTCCAGCCCGCAGCGCCGGCCCTTTCCCACTGTCCCAGGGCGGCGGGGCGGGGGTCAGCATCCAGGCACTCGGAATGGACGGGACGGTGACAGGGACGGACAGGGGGCGGGGGAGACGCACGCAGCGAACAGCGCGGGGCCTCACCTTTGCGGGGCCCCGGGCCTGCCGTCTCCGGCAGCAGCCGCTCCGCGCGAGCTGCCTCCCCGGGCATGGCCTGGCCGTGGGCCGTCCTTCCGTTCGGTCGGTCCGTCCGTGAGTCCCTCCCGTGGAGCTCACGCGGCGGCCACCGCCCCTCGCCCGGGACGGAGCGGGGGGTGGTCAGTGGTGACGTCAGCGCCGCCCCGCCCTGAGTGAGTGTGCGCGCCGCGGGCACTGCGGGTCCCTCCCCGCCCCGTGCGCGGAGCGAAGGCCCGGCCTCTCCGCAGACTCCCACCCCCGTCGCGGGAGAGGGGCTCGCGGCCGGCGGAGGCTGGGCCGGCCCGGCGCGGCATCGCCCCGCAGCTGGGTCAGGGAGAGGCAGAGGTCGCTAGACCTCGAGGTGCCGGGGCGAAGGGGGTCGGAGGCGCCGGGGACCGGGGCGCTTTGCGGGAGGCGACGCAGCTCCCCCTGCCAAGCCTGGCCCCCGGGCCCCCACCTGCCCGGGTCAGAGTCCCCGCCCCGCCTGGTGCCTCCATCCAAGAAGAGCGCTGGGCCCCGCTCGCCCTGATTGGCTGGTACTAGCAGGTTGGTCTCCACGGCAACCGCCTCCCGGCTCCGTGGCAACCAGAGCCGGCGAGGAAGACGGTCCCCGGAGCTCCCACGGCCCCACCCTTCAGCTCCGAGCCCGGAACCGGGAGAAGCCCGCCTTGCGCCCCCGCCGGCGGCCCCGGCCCCGCCCCCAGGGCGTGGTGCCCCGCCCCGTGCGTGACACCCCGCCCCCTCCCCGAGGAGCGCCCCCGTGCCAGGCTCCGGGAGACACTGGCGCTGTCCGGGTTGGGCGCGGACGGCGGGGAGTCAGAGCGGCTGATGCTGGCGGGGGGTGTGTCCCCGCCTCGGAGCCCCCGGAGCCAGGGGCCGCCCGCGGCGCCTCTGTCGGCTGCACACGCCTCCCGCCCCGCCCCGCCCCGCCCCGCCCTGCGTCCGGCGTCCCCGCCGTCCCTGGAAGTCCGTCCGTTCGCCCCCCGGCGGGGCCGCCCCGACTGCCTCCCAGGGGCCGCAAGGCGCCCAGCCTGCGCTTCCTCAGCCCCGGCTCTGGCGGCCGCCCACCCTCTCGGCACCGCCGGAACCGAAAGCCCTCCCAGGGCTGGAGGGGAGTCCGGAGTGGACGGGGTGGCACGGGCCGGCCTCTGCGCCGCGTCCCACTCAGCGGTGAGCGCTGGGAGCGAGAGGCTGCCCTCGCCGAGCTGCCGAGGGACCCGGGACCGAAGGCCGGCGGGGCAGCACGCCCGCCGTGCCCGACAGAGGGGCGCACGGCCCGGCGCCCCCGACCCAGCCACCTCCGGGGGGCCTGGCGCCCTTGGAGAATCGGGGACGCCCCTCGACAAGTGGCTAAGGGGAGCACACCGCTCCCCGCTGGGTCCGGCTCCCCACTCAGAGGCCGCAAGGGAGGGGGGGGGCCGCTCCTGCTGCCTGCCGGCCTTGTCACTGCGTGCAGGTCACCTTCCTGGTTGCCTGGTCGTTTTTTGTTGGAACCTGGACATTTTGGATGAAAATTAAAAACCCTGGGTGCTGACGCCGCCTCGGGGGCTTGTCCTAGCTGCTTCCTGAGCAAGAGCAGCCGGTCTCTCGGAGAGGGGGGGAGTCAGGCCCTGGGAGGCGGGGGGGGGGGGGGGGGGCGGCGCCCGCAGGCTCCTGCCCTGCGGCCCAGGGCGGTGGCCGTCCCAGTCCCGCGTTACTGTGCGGCTCTCCGCCTCAGGCACAGGGACAACGTGTCTCAGAAAGACACAGGAGCCATCAGCCATCGGGAAATATCGAAACCACGGGACCCTGACGACGACGAGCCTCGCGCGCTGGGCCTTGACGCCACCAGGCCGCAGGGAAACGCACCTGGAGGCCGCGCGCGACGGCGGCCAGAGACCCACCCCAGTCAGGGAGGCCCGGCCCCACGGGGCTGGGGGGCTGCGCGGGCAGCTCACTCCGCCCTCACGCTGGGCGTGTGTCCGGGACCCGAAGAGCAAGGGAAGGACTCAGTGCAGCCCCAGGAGGGTGGCGAGAGACCCGCCCCAGGGGTCAGAGGGGTGCACAGGGGCTGCTCCAGGACAGAACGTTCTCTGAACAGAAAGGGAGGGCAGCTGCGGTCGCTGGTGGCTAAGGGCAGAGAGGCAACGTGGGTCCAGGGCCCCCCGAGCGCCCTGGCGGTGCGTCGGCAGCCCGGCGGCGCAGGGGCTGCGGCCGTCTCTCATGGTGCAAAGGCAGCCCTGTCCGAGCATACTGGCGGCCCCAAGTGGCAGACGGCAGTCTGTGTGTCCTCGATGGATCTCTCGGGGACCTCATGGGTGCTGCCTGTCCCGCTGCTCCCCCCCGCCCCCGGCTCTGCAAGGCTCACCCTGCTCCCTCACCTGCCCTGGCCTCGGTGTCACCAGCTTCAGAAAACCACCTCTGGCTGCAGCTGTCCGCCTGTGCACGTGACAGGCTTGGGTCCCCTGTGCCGGTGCCTGGTGGCTCCCTCCCTGGCCCCCAACCCTGTGCACCGGGAGCCCCTTCTCGGCTCGCATGGGTGTAGGCCGGTGGCCATGCCTGCTGTCCCCCGCAGCCTGTGCTGGCAGCACTCCAGGGGAAGACGGGGGGCACCCGTTCTCTTCCAGCCTCAGGCGGCCCAACTCCACGACACCCTGGTCCAGCGCAGGGACAGTGAGCGGCCTCTCGAGTCCCCAGCCGAGGGCCCCCCACTCACTTCAGCCTGGACAGGGGGGAACCTCCCTGACGGCTAAGCTCACCCCCTGATCAACCCCTAAGTCAGGGGTGCACACCCAACTAGCTGCACTTCAGGACCCGCTCTGTGCCCGCCTGGCGACAGGCCCTGAGCCAGCCACAGTGGCCCCTGCGTGTGCACACGAGGTACTGTCCTGGGGGTGGCAGAGAGGCCGGGTGGCCAGAACGATGGGCCACTGGTCTGTCTAGAGGAAGCGCACAGGGCAGAGGCGCAGGGCCGTCCCTGTCCACAGCTGACAGGTGGGCGTGGGCAGGGGGTGGCGCGGGGTCACGGCAGAGCCTGGGACGCCTCCCCGTGTTGAACACCAAAGTGAAAGGTTTATTGCCCACAGGAGGCCCCGTGCCGCTCAGAGCTGCTGGCCAGCCCCGTGGCCAAGGCTGTGCGCTGGGTCTGTCCGTGGCGGGGGCTCCTCGCCCGCCCGGGGTCCACAGCCAGGCCTCCGGGGCCTGGCCCGCACGGGGCAGGTCACTTGGCCAGCTCCTTGGCCACTGCCTTCCGGATCTTGTCCTTGAGGTAGGCGCCCTTCTGCCACTCAGACTTGAGCTCCAGCCACTCGTAGTACGGGACCTGGGGGTGAGGGGGCATCCGCTTGGCCCCCAAATCCCGGAGGTGCGGGGACTGGGGCCGGGGACCACGCGTGCTTGTTGGGGTTCAGAACTGTGTGGGGCTGGAAGCAGCCTTTTAACTTTAATTTGAATTCGAATAATTAAGCGTTGTTTAAAGAAAAACACCCAAAGACGACACTGAGACAGCACCCCTGTGTGGCCCACACAGAGGGGCGGCGGCCCAGCCCTTCCCAGGCTGCCCTCCTGGGGGGCGGGCGAGGGCGCTGAGCGCCACCGTGCAGGCCTGGGCACCCTCGGCCAGGCAGGCGGCAGCCGCCCCCCCAGCCACACCCCCGCCTGCCCAACAGGCACTCACGTCCACCACCAGGAAGCCAGCGGCCAGCACGTGGCGCCGGGCCAGCGCGAAACGCCCCAGCAGGTCCTTGCTCCGGCTGTTGAAGTTGGGGAACTCCCAGCGCAGGAAGGCCAGCCTGGGGGGAGGGGCACAGGTGCTGGCCACTGTCCCGCCCTCGCAGGGAAAGGCATTGCCAGACAAGAGCCAAGGGACGGCCCAGGAACCGAGCGCCCTACCTCTTGGTGCCAGCGGGCAGCGGCTGGCCCTCCGAGGGCGGGGCCCGATGAGGGGCCGCGAAGCCCTTCAGGGGCAGGAACTGGCCGTCGGCGTCCAGCAGCACCTCGGCATCTGGGGGGGCGGGGCGAGAGCCGGAATGTCTGGGGCCCCCCCGGGGAGGGCTCTGGGCCGCGGGGAGCCCGGGGCGGAGCGGACTGTGGGGGAGACTCACCCAGAACCCAGCCGTACTGCGTGTTCACCATGAAGAGGCCCCTGTCTGCGCTCCCCAGCAGACCCCTCAGGGCCCCCTGCAGCTCCTTCTGCAGGGGTGTGGCCTTCCTGTCTGGGGCCGAGGGCCTGGGGACCACGGCGGAGGCTGGCAGCAGGGGGCCCGTGTACTCGGGGTGCTCCAGCTGGGCAGTGGCATTGATGTGGAGCAGCTTCAGGAAGGTACTGTGGCCCTTCGGGGACCTGTCCTCTAAGGGAAGAGGTGCAGCGTGGAGGGAGGGTTAGGGTCAGGGCCGGGAGGACCAGGCGGGGAGGCTGCAGGGCCCCCACCGGAGTCCCGTGCGGGACTCTGGGTCTTGAGAGACGGCTGCCCCCAGGGATGGGTGGAGCAGCAAACAGGGTGGGGGAAGCCCCGGCCTGGGACCTGGGGGCCCTGACCCCCGGGCGGCGCCGGCCGACCCACCAGGCAGCGACATCGCTGCCACAGCAGCGGCGCTGGGGGCGGCCCGTGCAGGAGAGAGGAACGTGTGCTGCTCACCTAGGAACTGGGCGTGGAACTCGGGGCGGAGCACGGCCCGCAGCTCGGCCTCGCGGGCCTGCTGCAGCACGCACAGGGCCCACAGCACGTCCACCTGCTGCGCTGGGTCCAGGTCCGCCAGCTGGCCCCCCAGCTTCTCGTGCACCTGGGGGACGGGGGCGCGTGGGGCTCTGCTCAGCAGGTGCGGGCACCCTGGCCACCGGCTGGCGCTGCCTCCTGCCCTGGCCACGCCTGGCCGCGGTGGGCACGGGCAGCCCCAACTGAGGCCCCCGGGTCGGGCTGGGCCCCCTGGGGAAGGTGCTGTCTGGGCTGGAGGACGTCCACCTGGGCTCCCTGCTGTCTGCTGGCAGGGCCCGCGGCACCGAAGCCACGGCTCCAGTAGCATGGCATGTGCGCCCCAGGATGGGGGCGGGGTGGGTGTTTCTGGCTCCAGGGACTGGAGAGCACAAGGGGAGGCAGCAGTTCCGGTGGCCCCCACCCGCACCGGGGCCCTGCCAGTGGGGCCCTGCGGCGGACCTCCGAGGTGCACTAAGAGGGTGATGGGGAGAGGCCTCCTTGACCTGACGCGGCCCCGGCCACACAGCTGACCTGCTGGAATTCTGAGTGTTGCCGCCAGACAACCCCTGGGAGGCTGGGTTCCAGCCGGCTGCCTCTGCCCCCGCCCCGGCCGGCCTCCCTCCTCCCTAACCCTGCGCCCGCCCCGCCTGCAGGGAGAACGGGCCACTGCACCAGGCTGAAGAACGGCTCCTCTTGTTCTGGACGGAAGTTCAGGCGCGCGAAGGCCAGGAGCATGTTGCAGAGGTGCGGCACAGTGATGCTCTGGGCTCTGCTCACGACGTGCTAGGGACAAAAGGGCGGAGGAGCAAGATGAGGATGCCCCGTGCACACTGCAACCCCAGCAGTGACCCCCTTGGGGGCCTGGGACCCTCAGATGCCGCATGTAACCCTGAGCAGACGCCACCTTTGCCTGACGCCGTCTGGAGCAGGGCCGAGGGGGGCCCAGCCTCGCTGCCTGCACGGCTCCCAGACGGCCACCAAAGACCGAGCGACGGCAGAAAATTGCAGACACCTCGTTCTCTCCCCCCGACACGTCTCTCCAAACAGACTGGCCAGAGCAGGGCCCTTGCCTGTGCGCCGGGGGCGTCTCCAGCCGCTGGGCCTCCCCGACGGACCCACAAGCCCGGCCTCAGGTGCGTACCCCGCTCACCTGGGCAAAGGCCTCAAACAGGGGCAGGTTGAGCCACTTGAGGAAGGCAAAGGACTTGGCGCAACGGGCCACCTCGCCCGACGCGAGGCTGGGCGTGTGCGGCAGCAGGTCGGCGGCCAGGCGCTGGAACACCTGCGTCTGGTGGAAGCCGAGTTTGCCTTCGGGACAGAGCAGACCCTGGGGTTCACCCGGTGGCCCACCCCGAGCCCCCCACCCCGCCTCCAGGCCCAGGCTCTTGGTGTCTGTAACCACCTCTATCCCTGGGGCCCAGCAGGGGACCAGGGCCCGCGAGTCACAGTGTTCCTGCGGCGGCCGGCGGGCCGGAGCCACCCCAAGTCGCCCCCGGGCCGGGGCTCACCGTAGGCGTAGGCCACGTCCAGGAGGGCGCCTTTGCTCAGGGGGAAGGGCTTCTGCACCAGGTGGTATGAGATGGCCCGCAGCAGGGGCACCGACCGCCGGTTCTGCGCCGCCAGCGCCACCAGCACCTTCCGCAGCTCGTCAGGGCCGAACTGCTCCACCAGCTCCAGGCACTGTCAACCACAGCCGGCAGGGTCAGCGCGGCGGCCCGGGCAGTGCGGCCCCTGCGAGACAGCAACTGGGCCTGAGCGCACCGACCCCGGGCCCGCTGAGCGGCCACACTCGCCCCGGGGCCGAGGGGCTTGCGGAGGCCAACCCCCCGACTGCGGGCGCCGCCTCGCTGAGCAGCCCCCGTGCGGGCTGGGCCTCGCGCGGGGAGCCGGGCGCAGGGGCCGTGTGGGAGGAGGATGGGGGACGGGGGCCAGGCCCACACTCCTCGCGGTGCCCCCCCGCCCCAGTACCTTGTCCTCCAGGCGGGTCATCAGCGACTCCGAGAGGTGCCCTGTCTTCGTCATGATGGCTACCAGTGTGCGGCTGTCCTCGATTTCCGCCCAGCGCCGCTCCAGGTGCACCAGCAGCTCCGCCAGCAGCTCCTGGGAGCCCCGCTCCTGCATGTGGGCGGCGCTGGTCTCGGCCAGGAAGGCCAGGTGCTTGTACCTGAGCCTGCGCAGGCGCCAGCGCACCTCCTGCTCCACCGACGGCAGCTCCTTGGAGGCGGCTGGCAGCTCCAGAGCGTAGAGGCTCCGGAGCAGCTTCACGAGGGTCCCGTGCCAGACCGCGGCTATCTAGGGGGAACACAGGCAAGGTCACCCTGGGACCCCGGGGTGGGCCTGTGCGCTGAGCCGGCTGTCCAGCCCCCGTCACCGGCAGCGAGAGCGGGGGGCAGCGAGGCCGTCCAGGAGCCTTCCTCACTCGCCTGCCTCCGCAGGCTCCTGGCAGGGGGCTTCTATAACAAGCTCGTTCTCTGCTGACGACGACTGTTAGCTGTTAAAATTCCCCCCGGGTCTGAAACTGCTCGGGGAGGCCCTCTGCACGGAGCCCCGTCACCCACACCCCCAGGCTCTGAGGGGCGAGCAGCTGCCGCCGCCGCCGCCGCCAGCCCCGCCGAGACGCAGGCGTTTCTGGGTGCGCCTGCACGCGCCAGGGACCAGCCTCCCTCAGGCGCCCCCGCCCCATCACACAGCATTTCCCCAAGGTCTGTGCGTGAACGGCAGACCCGGACCCTGCCCTGGGGGGTCGGAAACCAGCCGGGCCCTTCGCGCCACAGTGCCTCCCTTCTGCTCGGTCCCTGGCCTGCTGTCTGAGCCGGGTGGTGGCACTGCGCCCCGCAGGGTGTGCTTCCAGGCCTCAGAGAGGCGCGGGGTCGCCCGGGAGCCGACGGCCGAGGCCCCGCCGTCACGGAAGGCGGGCAGGGCCCTCACTGCTGGTGGAGCGAGGCTCCTGGTCCCAGCTGTGGGACCGGCTGGCGGGGGGGGGGGGGGGGGGGTGAAGAAAGGGAGGAACAACCGAGGCCACACGCAGGAGGTGAGCAGGGAAACTGAGCGCGAAGGGCCAGGGGAGGAAGGAATAATTGAATGTCACGGGCAACACCTGCGCCTCCTTACACTGCAAGTGCTTTGTTTCCAGTTTGTTACTGGCTTATACTTTGTTACAATATTCAGGCTCCCCAAATTTGCTTCTGTTGTGTCTATATTCAATAAATACCTAAAATTACAGCCTGAAAACAAGCGAGCCCCTAACTTAGGTGACCTTTATGAACTCCCTCCTCCCTTGCCTCCGCTCTGAGCCTTTGAGGGGCCGGCTGGCTGGACAACGCCCCTGCCCTCCACCAGTTTCTGGGCTCCCCCCACCGGCCGCCCCACATCCCCTCCAGCCTCACGGTGTGCTGCCACCTGCCAGGCCTGTGGGGGAGGGGTACGGCGGCCAGCAGCAGCAGGCTGGCCCCCTGTGCCTGTTTGCTGTGGGGACAGCAACAGCCCCCACCGAGGCAGCCCGGAGCGCTCACAGAGAGGAAGGCCCAGAAAGCACGTTGGAACCCGCAGAGCGGCCGCCTCGGCCCCCAGCGTCCTGCCCGAGGCTCTGGGCCGCACCTGACTGTTGACGAGATGGAGGAGCTGCTGAAAGCGCGCGTCCTCCATGAGCGAGGCTTTGTCCTCCGGCTTCTCGGACAGCAGGCGGGAGAGCTGGATGAGCGCGAGGGCCGCGTGGTTCTGGTGCAGGTGGTGGCCGCCCGTGAGCAGCCCCAGGAGCTCCTCCGGCCGAGTGGCCTTCTCGATGAGCTCGTCCACCTCCTGGCGCTCTGGGCGGGGGGTGAACGCCTGCTCCTTCTCCGCGTGCTGGGACAGGGCGCCCGGGACCTGGGAACTGGGCGAGGCGGCTGAGGAGGTCAGAGTCCTGCGGGCTGCCCTGGCCAGCCGCAGCCGGCCGGCGGGAGGGCCCGCGGGGGCCAGGCGGGCGGCCTCCCTCAGGAGGCACGTGCACCGCTTCACCAGGCGAGCTGCCATGACGGCCGGGGCGGCAGGGAGGCGACACTCCCGGCAAGTAACCTCAGGGCCCTGGAGACAGAGAGAGAGAGCAGGGGCTGGCAGGGGGCGCCGCACAAGCACAAGGCAGTGTGGCGGAGGGCGTGGAATCGCAGCTGCGCGCTCCACCCGCCAGCCCACACCTCCGACCGTTCACACGCAGGCACGCGGGTCGGCGTGTTCTTCTCCCCAGTATAGGAGGGTACCCAGGCGTCCCGGCTCGGGGGCAATGGGGGGCGGGGCGCTGGCTGGGGTGTCACGGGGGTGGGGGGTCGGTGGCAGCTCAATAGCCCAGGAGTCTCTGCTGCAGGGCCCAGGCAACTTCGTTTTGAAATGTTAAGACTCCTCAGGATCAAGAATTAATTGAGAGACACAACGGGACAGGGTATTTCCAATCAGAGGGCTCCTCAAAGCCCCTGAACACACGCTCGACATCCTGCAGCTCCTGCGGGTGCATTTTAACACTCAAACCCCGAATGGGCTCCCCCAAATCAGCACCGACCCACTGAGCACACACGCACTAATTCCTAAGAAGAAAACGCCTGCACCAAGCACAGAGGACATGTTGCACGTGGCTCAGGCCTTTCTTCCTCCTCCCGGCCCGCGCCTCCTTCTCACCAGGCCTGGGGGGCAGGGCCCGCTGTCCGGCCCTCACCTTCCGCCACAGGGCCCAGAAAGTCGCCCTCCCCTTCCCAAACCCAGACCGTTTTCCTTCCCCGAGAAGTTGCCCCATATCCCTACGACGCTGCTTGGCCCGGATCTGCCTGTCAATCTTGCTCCCCGGGGTCATCAAATGACCCGGGTGAGCCGCGTGACCGAGGCACGGTGAAATGTTAACTCGGCCTCCCTCCCGCCAAAGCCAGGGCGAGTCTGATCTTTGGATTCCCAGAACGCAAGCGGGTTACTGCCAAAAAGCTCGGCCCGACTCCACCTACAGCAAGGGGCGCCGAAGCAGGGAGTCCCGGCCCGGGGCGGCAGCCGGCCCGTGCGGTAGCAGCGGGCAAGACAGCCCTAGGAGGCGCGGAGGGAAACGAGGACCTACGCCGGCAGCGTGTCAGCGCCCCCCAGAGCGGAGCGGGCGCCCAGGCCCGTCTGCGGCTGCGGGCGCAGACGGGCCTGGGCTCCGCACTCCCGGTCCCCGCTGCCCCGGCCCCGCGCGTCCCAGGGCGCCCGTCCTGCCTCCTCTCCCAGCCGCAGGCCCCACGCTCTGCAGCCCCCTCCCCGCAGCCCAGAGACGTACCCCGCGGCCCCCGTCAGCATCGCCGCTGACCTCCACGCGTCCCGCACCGTCCTCGGTCCACGCCGCGCGGCGCGCTCGTACGTCACTGGAGCGCCGCCGGAAGCGAGGCTCCCCGCAAGTCTCCCTGACAAAAGCCACGCCCACTGCCCTTTTCCGTTCAGGTGCCATCTTTGTTGCGGTCATACGGCCGGAAGTGACTCGGACTGCGCCTTTCCGGCCGGTTGCCATCTTTATTGAGGGCAGTGGAGCGCGAGCTAGGGGACGGCAGTTTAGGAAACTGGGAGGGGAAATGAGTATAGAGTGCAGAATGGAACGTTGGAAGGCCAGTGCTCCTGGGCGAGGAATGGACCTGCCCGGGGCGGGGCCGCCACCTGCAGACCTCGGGCGCGGGCAGTGGCCGCTCCAGCCGGGGGTCGTCCTGCGGAAACCCGCGCACAACTTGCCGGCATTTTGCAATTAAAAAAAAAGTGAAAGAACCCTGAGATTTTATGTGCCATCTTTGACTTTTAAGTATTGACATTTAATTATAACATAAAGCGCGGGGTAAGCCAAGCAAAACGTATCTGACGTCGATGTGTGGACCTGGTTAATTTCTCTTCCTGCAGACATTTTTATTTTTCATGGAATTAATAATTATCTTGTGTTTTTGTTTAAGACTTCATATCTTTATCACAAATTCTACCCTAAATTGTCTAAATCTCTCAAGATGCTCCACACATCAGATACGTCACAGTTTAACCTCCCCGAAGCCCTCCCTGAGCCTCAGCCCCGCACCGTCCGCTTTCTGGGCCAGCTGCCGTTTTTATCTTTGTTATCCTGGTTCTCGCTGGTGCCCGAGTTTGGCTGGAGCACACCCTCCAGGAGCTCGATGAGAAAGGATGAACAAGGAAGTTTAAAGACCTGGCAGGTCTAACATGTCCGAGAGCCTCCCACTTTACTGATAGCTTGGCTGTGTGTGGTTAGAAATCATTTCCTGATTTGAAGGCTTCCTCCACGGACCCCTAGCTTTCTAGTTTCTTGTGTTTCTCATGAGGAGTCCAAAAGCTCTATGTGACAAGTTCATTCACCTGATGGTCTGCCCTTCCTCCCTCCGTCCCTCCCTTCTTTCCCGCCTTCGGTTTGTACTTTCCTTCTCCCTTCCTGATTCCATTTCTTTTTTGGTTAATTTCTAGAAGTGTGTATATTCTCCTCATTCCAGGATTCTGCTATAAAGAACCCCAGAAAGCTCCCTCCCCCCTTTTACCCTATGAGGATGCAGTGAGAAGTCTGCAGTATGGAGAGGTTCTTACCCCACCCTGCTGGCACCCTAATCGTAGACTTCCAGGCTCCAGAACTGTGAGGAAGAGATTTCTGTTCTTTATGAGTCACTGAATTTATTTATTTACTTTTAAAAAGATTTTATTTAATTTTAGAGATGGGGAAGAGAGAGAAACATCAATGTGTGGTTGCCTCCTGTGCACCCCCCACCGGGGACCTGGCCCACAACCCAGGCGTGTTCCCTGACTGGGAATCGAACCAGCGACCCCTTGGTTCTCAGGCTGGTGTTCAATCCACTGAGCCACACCAGCCAGGGCCTATGTTTTGGTTATGTTATCAAAGCCCGAACAGACTAAGATACCATATAAGCCAGCAATCATGCTCCTTGCTATTCACCAAGAGGAGTAGAAACCTGAGGTCCACATAGAAATCTGCACAGGGATGTTTATAGCAGCTTCATTTAAAGTCGCCCAAACTTGGAAGCAACCAAGACGTCTTTCAGTTGGTGAGCGGATAAACACGCCGCGCGTGGCTCCCTGTGTGTGGACGCAGAGCTCAGCGCTCCTTGGGGAGCCCTGACTGTCCCCCGGGATGTTCTGCCGGCCCACGCACAGCGACCCTGTCTGAGGCCGGGTCCCACAGACTGTCCGAGCTGCGCAGCCTCACCTGGCACCAAGCCCGTGATGCACGGAGCCCAGCTGTGGTCCTCAGCAGGTTCAGGGAGCCCGCGGAGCCCGCGCTGGTCCTGGTGCCCCCGGGGACCCTCCCTGCGCACTCCGAGCGCTGTGACAGGGAAACCAGCCGCGGCCCCACTGCCCTCACTGGAGACGGAGGCCCAGGAGGGGCACGGCCGCCCCTCGTTCGCACTCCTGCCCTGTTTGGGAACCGCAGCCACGGTCACTCCTTCAGGCTCTCCCCGCCCTCCCTTCTCAGACCTTTTTCCTTGGAAGGCCTGCGGCTGCCCTGTGTCCTCTGTCTCAGAAACGCGTGTGCGGTTTTGGGAGGCCATGGTTCACTGGTCAGCCTGGGCTGGGAATTCGCCTGGGGACAGGCCATCACTCTGAAGGGAGGCCACGCCCCGTCTCCCAGGTTCGTGGGAGGCAGGAGCCCAAGTCCGGGCCCAGGCCTAGGTTGGTGGTGAAGGTGTGAGAATCCTGTTTCCTCCCGGTGAGGCCGTGAGCCCACCCGGTGGAGAGGCCGATGGCCCTGAGCCCCTGGCAGGCTCTGCTCTGCCCCTGCCCCCACGCCCAGCGACGCCCGGACAGCCGCCAGACGCCGGGGCCTGCGCGCTTCCCGCCGGGCAGCTGCCCAGGACAGGCAGCAGGGGTAGCCTGTAGGTGGCCCTTTTTTTTTTTTCTTTTTTAAAATCAACCAGTTGGCTCACACATGCGCCCCGACTGGGGACCTGTCCTGAAACCTGGGCATGTGCCCTGACCAGGATTCAAACCGGCGACTCTTCGGTCTGCGGGACGGTGCCCAACCCACTGAGCCCCACCAGTCGGGACACGTGGCACATTGTAAGGACCACTGCTGTGCTGTGCTGTAGGAATAAATAGTCCTCCCAATCGTCAGAAACCATTGCCAGGGGCCTTTTGCCCCCACTGTGCGGCAGGGACACGGGTGGAGTGGCTGGCCAGTTACCCAGCCCGTGAGCGTCCAGGCCTGACCGCTGACCCAGGCTTCAGGCCGCTCTCTGCTCTTGGCATCCAGAGAGACTCACCTGAAGTCAGCGTTTGGCCCTGGACACATGAGCCCTTGTTTACCTATTCCTGTCATATTGGGGCAAAAATGACCAGCTTTTGAGCACCGGTGCGCGAAAGGCCTCTGGCATATGTAATCTTATTTAGTGAAGAGATGATGCCCAAACCATAACGCAGGAACCCAGAGACCCCGGAAGGACCACCCTGCGCCAGGTCGCAGGCCGCCTCCTGGCAGGGACCCTCTCCTTCCGTCCCCGCTGCGTCTCCGGTTCTGAGAGAGGGCTTGTCCCCTGCTCCATCGGGGAACAAGCCTGGCCCAGGGCAAGCGCAGTCAGCACCGGGAGCCCACGCAGGCAGCTGCGCTGAACACTCTCTGACAGTCTGCATGGAGCTGCCGACTTCCCTTTGATTCATGAGCGGAGGACACAGAAGTGGGGGGCTCGGGGGCTCCACGTTCACTCCCTAAAACCCCGAGCCCCTACTGTGCGTGTGGCTCGGTGCTGGGTGCCAGGCAGGCGGGCCACCCTCCGTCGGCCGCCACACACAGCCGCGGGTGCGTCCTGCGCGAGTCTCACTGCTCCCTGCTCCCCCGCCTTCCTGCTTGCGGCGCCGTCCTGAGAGGGAGTCTGGCCCTCGAGGAGGTCCTCATCCCCCATCTTTGGTTTAGTTAAACAGAAACGGGGCTTCCGGCCGTGGCTGGGGAATGGCTGCCGCGAGTGGCTGCCAAGCCCGTGGACATGACTTAGTCCGGAGGCCTGGGGGCTGCCGCGCAGGTGTGTGTGTGCGGGAGCCCTCCTGTGGCTGCAGCGGTGCCTCGGTGGGGACAGAGCGTCAGTTCGGAAGATGGGAAGTTCTAGGGGTGGATGGCGGCGATGATGGCACAACCATGGGAATGTGCTCAGTGCCACTGAGCTGTACACAGACCCATGGTTAGGATGGTGCATTTTAACTTACGTGCATTTTGTGAGATTTATAACAATAACGCTGGAACAATGAGATTTGAGTCCTGACCTCGAGTGGCTGGGTAACAGCTGAGGGCCAGAGCCCCTCCCGGGCGCCGGGTGGAGCTCTCTGTCACCCCTTCTGTGGAGACAGACGGCGGCCACTTTTGGCGTCTGGGTCACGGAGGATGGAGAGACAACCGCCACGCCTATCGGTAGGGGGCGCCACGGATCCGCACACCCGCCGGCCGCGCCGCCCGCGGGCTCTGCGGCCTCGAGCTACGCTGCTGGCGGACGGGTCGAGCGCTCGGCAGCCGTCTCCTTGGAGAATAACCTGCTTTGGCCTCGGGAAAGTGACCTTTAAAAACTGTTTTAAAGTAAGAAGAATTGTAAACAAATGCCGCGATGAGAGTGCGTCTGTCGGGGCTGGATCGAGGGGGGGCAAGCCCCGCGGTAACCCCCCCAGGCCTGTGAACGGGGGCGGGCCGGGGCGGCTGCGCAGGAGCTCGGGCCACCGCTGGGGGCGCACGCGGGCCGCGCCGCGCCGCGCAGGAGCCGGTCGGGCAGGTGCGCGCACACTCGGCGGTGGGTCGCGGCCGCCCCGTCCCCGGCGGGCGGGCGCGCGGGCGCAGGCACAGGGGGTGCTGCTTCCTTCTGGGTCGCGGGCCAACCCTGTGGGGTCCGGCCGCGGGCGCCGCGCCCTCCCCGCAACCCCGCGGCCCCTGGTGACCCCTGTGACCGGGTCTCCGATGACCTCTGGCGGGCCGGCGGGCCACGCTCGGGAGGGGAGCGGCCGGGCTGACGCCCTCGGGCTGGGCGCCCTCGAAGCGCGCGCCCGCGGCGCCCGTCCCGGAAGTTCGCCGGTTCCCGCAGGGCGGCGCCCGGGGGCTCGGGGCGGCCTCTTCCCGAGCTGGTGGTTCGCGCCGCCCTCGCCCCCGCTGCCTCTCGGGAGCCCCTGCGGTCCGCGCGGCCGCGCATTCGGCGTGTTCTCGGAGGGCGCCGCCCGGCCCTCCCTCGCCGCCACGCGGGGCCTCCAGTTGCCTCTCACGAAGACCTGGCGAACCCTGGCGCGCCCGTGTCCCCTGCCGTCGCCGTTTCCGCGGCGGTCCGTTCCCCGCACTGGTCCGGGCTTCCGCCGCTGGGATTGTCCTGCAGTGTGCGTTTCTCATAGTGCAGACCGCGGGGGAC